CAGTGTTCAAGTCTATCCAGATCCTCCTGTATCTTAAGTCTGTCTCTGGAATGTTGGCTATTCCTGCCAGCTTGGTATCGTCTGCAAATTTGATGAGTTCCCCATCTAACCCCTCATCCAAATCATTGATGAAGATGTTGAAGAGCATTGGGCCCAGAACAGAGCCCTGGAGCACCCCACTACACACGTCCCTCCATGTAGATGCGGTTCCATTGAGGACCACATGCTGGGTTCGGCCGGTCAGCCAGCTATGGATCCATCTGTCTAACCCACATTTTTCTATCTTATCAAGTATATATATATATATGGAAGCCAAAAATGCTCAGTATATGTATACATGCACAAACACACTTATCTTTCTTATCATACCAGTTTCAATCCTACTCTATTTAATATGGACAAAATGAAGTAGTAGACTGATGACACGGGAAGTGCTTTTATAGGGAATAGGCAGGCAAGCCCCCCCCCATCCTTCACATTCACTTTCACAGCTGTGGCCCAGACATTCAAATACATCTCTTTCCCATCTCCAGCAGAAGTGCAGATTTGGGCACAAATGCAACAAGCAGATTCCCCTTACCCCTCCCCTTTCTCCCAGTGATGCAATATTTTTCTTCTTTTAAAATCAAGCAGAATTTGCTTTACAAGAGGTCAAAAACAAATATGAAATTAGCATCTCCTCAGCTCAACTTTAAGCTAGGAATTGCAGGAAGAAGAGTTTTCCAGGTGACAAAAGCACAAAGGTAACTCCTATTCTTTAGTGCAGGGCTTTTCAACCAGTGGTACGGGTACCACCTGTGGTACATTGGCACCTGGCAGGTGGTACGTAACCATCCTAGAAAAGTGGTAGTGGGGGAGGGGAATGAGCTGAACCAGTGGCAGCATCGCACAAGCTTGAGCGAGAGATGGCTGGAGCTGCAGGGCTGTCAGGGCTCAGCGGAAGCGCCAGGATCAGCGCCAGGCTCCAGCTGGAGCTCGGCACTGATCCTGGCACTTCTGCTGAGCCCAGAAGAAGCGCTGATGACCTGGAATGTTGCAGCATCTCCAGGGTCTTGTGATTTACATTCAGATGCTTGGCAACTGATTCATATTTATGACGGTCGCAGTGTCCCAGGGTCATGTGAAGTGACCCAAACCTGCTGCAACCACCCAGCAGATGGGGGGAATAAAAACCAAACACCCCCCACCCCACCCCCGCTGCCAATCCTCAACAGAATTGCTCACAACAATGAAAACCTCGGACAGGAGGAAGAGCACCGCTGGGTGGGCAGACAGGCGTCTTCCTCGGCTGTGGCTTGGGGGCACTTTTTTCAGTGCCATTGTAACTTCGAACAGTCACTAAGCGAACTGTTGTAAGTCGAGGACTACCTGTACTTTATTACTTTTTCTCTTTTTGGGGGGGTCATCAAGTTTTGACATCTTGCTAGGCGACTGGTGGTACTTGGATTTTGCCATATCCTAAAAGTGGTACAATGGGTGAAAAGGTTGAAAAGCCCTGCTTTAGAGCAGGGGCATCTAACCTTGGAGACTTTAAGACCCATGGACTTCAACTCACAGAATTTTGTGATTTCTTAATGTGTGGTGGTTAATACTTTATTGTCTGTAAACAAGCTCAGTCATTGCATGCTTTATCCACACAACACATCTTCTTTACAGCAGTGTTGCATTAGTGTACAGGAGCCAGCTTGTACTGGTTGGCAATAACTGATTGCTAAATTTTCTGGAAGTTTGCAAGCCCACTGAGAACAGAACCGAATCATGATGCCTAGTACATTGATCAGCTGTTTGATGACAGAATTGGTTTTTAAACATTTATCAGCTTAGCCCTGACTGTAACCTTCACCTTCTGAAGCTGTTGTAGTTTAATCGAACAAATTTAGCCGTTGTCCAGCAGAGGCCACCATAACTTATCGTATAAGGAGAAAATGTGTAATTTTTAGGCAGTGTAGATCAGGATTCTAGAGGGAATAGGCCTTTCTTCTGTTAAGACTGTTTTATTTCTAGAACTACTTTGCAGGCAAGAATGTAGAGTCCTTGAGAGCCTGGAGGGTGTCCGACTGAACTTCAAGCAACAAATCTTTGAAAAGAGTTAGTACACATTGTGTAAAGTACAGAACCAAAGGAGTACTCAAAAGTATTAAAAGTTAATATTAGGGTTATTATTCATTGCAAATATTCATTGCTTGATGTATATTTTAACTGCATTTGTCCAATTACTGACCAATCTATGTTTTGGTGGTAACCTTAATGCAACAACATAATGGCTGTATAAGCAGACCTGGGTTGATAAAAGCTCTGGGCTAATGAGACAGGTAATCCCCTTTCACTTTTTATCTTTAAAAGTCTCTTTCATTCACTTCGAACCAAGATGGATGGCAAATACATTTAACAACAACAACTTCCAGCCTCATCCTGAACTAATACTCAAAGAGGCAGTGACCATGAGGGTCTTTGCACAGGGTCTATCTTGTATACCAGTTGCACCCATTGCTAGAATGGGAAGCCCTTCAGATGCTCATGGATGCTTTAGTCACCTCATGGTCAGACTACTGAAATGCATTCTGCATGGGGGGTCCTTGAAGATCACCTGGACACTATAGGCTAGTCCAAAATGCAGTGGCACAGACAGTGATGAGTGCATCTCGGTACACCCAGGTGTCCTCAATGGTTTGCAAGTTCCAATAGTTCCTAATTTTCTGAAAGGCGCTGTTTGAAATACAGCCTAGACATCAAGGAATGCCACTTTGGTAACAAGACTTTTCTGTTATGGCACCTGCCCTCTGGAACAGCATCCTTTCAGGCATTTATAAATCTCCAGGAGTTTCACAAATGTGAAAATGTGGTTGTACCCTCTGGTCTAGATTAGGTTCATTGTGGAGCCCCTGAAAGATATTTTTTCATGCAATGGGTGTTTTATTTGGACACACATTCTTTTCCTTTTTAATTGCTTTCCCTCTTTCGATTACAAAAGCTGCTTACATAAGCCACATTTGGACACAACATACCCTCATTTGGGAGTTGAACAGTTTTCTAAATCCAACAGAATAAAAGAATAACTAAAACTAAAAGGGTACATCCAAGAGCTTGCTACAACACTCACAAAATGGCCACCTTGTTTAATTACAAAAGGCCTATTTAACAGAAAGTGATCTGTGGACTCATCATGCTCTGTATCATTGCAGGTTACCATTATGAAAACCAAACTCAAACCCATAATGATTAGGGGTAGTTGGGCACATTGCAAACAATATTGGTGGCAGTTATTTGCCATTTGATTTTTTTATATTCTATTACAACTCATAATGGACTCCATGGAGACCCAGTTTGGTTTAGTGATACCAGGATAGAAACCTTCGGCCAATCATTCTCTCAGCCACACTCCACTCACAGCATCGCTGTTGTGGGGAAAATAGGGGGTAGCAGAAGTGTCAGGTATGTTCGCTGCCTTGAGCTATTTATAAAAATAATAATGGGCAGGATACAAATAAAATAAAATAAAGGTACAGTTGAAATTCATTCCTCAGTATGCTTTTTTATTCTGAAAAACTCTTATGAATGAGCTCATTGAGGGAGGCAGCACCGTGAGGGATTTATTTATTTTATTTCCAGTATTGGTATACTGACAAATTATAGAAACTAGGCTTTTCCACTCATAGTGGAAATAAATATACATTGCGTATGTATGTATTTAGGATTTTGGGATTTTCCAAAACACCTCATTTGAGTCCCTTCTATTTTTTGTGGTGATGGTGGGTGTCAAAAAAGCATAGAAGCTACTCCAGGAAATGGAAAGTAATTCCATTTTCCCAGCATTGAAAGTGAATCTTACCACTGAAACTGAATAATACTTCAATATTTTTTTTAAAAAAATATTTGTCCTTGAAGAAATATTAAATCAAGACCAGAGAGCAATTCAGAGAGTAAAATATTTTGTTGCAGTGTCTCTCAATATACACGGAGAAGACATGCTATCTTGACTCCCGGGGAAGAAATGGCAAACTGAGGAAAAACGCTCGCAGTTTTTCCGTGTCCAGCTCTACCTGACATTATTCTCATAACGAAGCATAGATTGTTTTTCATTCCGACAAGTAGTTCACATGTCAGCCACGGGGTGGCGCCAGACCTCGCTCCTGGCTGAAGACACTGCGGTGCATTTTCCTGCTTCTTTTTAAATTACTGCGGAAAGAGAGGGGAGGGGGAGGAAGCAACCGCTAATGAAAAGACAGATTCCGCGACAACTTGTTTTGATGCCTGCCATCCATCACACGTGCCCGGGTATTCAAGAAGAATATATTCCCTATTACCGCATGTGTGGATATCTATCTATCTATCTATCTATCTATCTATCTATCTATCTATCTATCTATCTATCTATCTATCTATCTATCTATCTATCTATCTATCTATCTATCTATCTATCTATCTATCTATCTATCTATCGCTTGTCTCCAGATTCACCCTTGTGTAGATAATGCATGCATGCATGTGACATGCACACACATATCTTTCAGCGGAGAAAGCTATCTAGTCCCATCGCCAGGCAGGCAAGCAGGCAGGCAGGCAGGCTGGAAGGGATGTTGGATTTTCACCCATCTCCCGGGTTCTTAACAGGTTACAATGTCAGCACCGGCGATCCCGGACTTCGTCCTCTCCTAGCCTGGGAAAGCCCGCAGGCCGCCCCGAAGGACCCGCAGCGGTCTCAGTTGCTGCAAGCGAGCGGCGAGCGCGTCGAAAGCGAAAAGCGGGACTCGCCCGCCGTCCCTTGCACTGCGGAAGACGGCGAAACCTAGAGAAGAGCCACCCTCCCTTCGGGAAAGAGCCGGGAGGCGTTTCAATAGCAGGTCAAGCCGGGTGTTATTCAGATCACGTCCCGGCGAGTTTTGGAAGGGAGAAGGCGCAGCTGCTATTGCCCGTGCTCGGGATTGCACGGCGGCGGCGAGAGACTGCAGGATTTATTTAAAAAAAAAAAAAAAAAAAAGGAGAAAGAGAGAGCAAGAGAGGAGGGGAGAGGGAGCGGGAGAGAGGAGAGAGAAGGAAGGAGAGGAAGAGAGAGAGAGAAGGAAGGAAGGAGGGGGGGAGGAGAGACGCTTTGAGGCTTTTTGCCCAGGGCGACGGACCGTCTCGCCCATCCTCACGCGTGCGCGCGTGTTGTGTATGTTGTATCCAGACTCTCTGCCTGACTATTGGTATCTCGTTGCCCACACCTCTTTTCCCCTCCTCTTCCTCTCCTCTCCTCTTCCCCTCCTTCAAAAAAGAATCCGGCTTTTGGGGAGATTTTTCTACCCCTCCTTGCGTCAGCAGCCCAACGTCACTTCACCGGTGACAGCTCCCTCGGTTTGGGGCTGCAGCAGGAGCCGGGGCGCTTTATTATCGGCAGCGCGTGGACTGGGAGGCGGCGGCGGGTGACAGCGCCTGTGTCTGTGCGGGAGGTGGGGGGGGGGCTGCCGACGAGAAGCGACGACGCCCCCACCGCCCCCTCCTTCCTTTCCCAGCCCTGCCCCGGAGCGGCGAACGGGAACCGGGCAGGAGGAGCGGAGCTGGGTGGCGGCACTGCAGCTTTTGCCGAGGTTCGGCCGCCTAGGTAGGGGCAGCGGCCACCTGGCCGAGGAGGAGAGGCTGCGCTAGCTTTATTACTGCTATCCCGGGTCCGGCGGCGGCCGGGCGCCTCTCCGCGCGCGGGGAGCGTGGCCCGGCTCAGCGTGCGCCGCTGCCGCCCTCTGCTCGTGGGGCGGGAAGCGGGTCGGAGTCGGCGAGGGGAAGCAAGGCGAGGCGGCGGCGGCGGCGGCTCCGGCTGCCCCTCACAGGGCATCTCTTTCTTTTCCAGGCTTGGACCTCGGACGCTCTCTGAGGGGAGCCGCTGCGCCCGGGAGGGATTTCGCCGACTGACCGAACCCCAGAAGTTGCTGCCTTCTGAAGGAAGGTGTTGGGGGGGGGGAAAGGAATACAGAGGTGGCGGCTGCTCCCGGACAGGGGACAGAAAGGATGCTCGAGTGACTGACGGCTCGGTGTCCCGGCAGCCGAGCTGGATTGATCGCGCTTGGCGGGAAGGGGAAGAAGAGCCACCGAGGAGCGGCGGCGGCGACATGGGGGCCTCGCCAAGGGCATGGTGGTGGCGGCGGCAGCAGCGGTTTCAGGGTTCGCCCCAGGCGACGGCGACCGGCTTCTGGAGCTTGTGTTGGCTGATGCTGGGCGCCTGGCGGGGGCTGCTCGCCTCCGCTTGCCCCACCTCATGCGCCTGCAGTCCCGAGCGGATCTGGTGCAGCGAAGCCGCGGCGAGCCTCGTGTCCTTCCCCGTGCTCGGCAAGAGGAGCGAGCGGGAGAAAGTCAGCGACATGTGAGTGCCTGAGCGGCGTTGAGGGTTGTTGGGGACCGGGGAGAACGGGAGGGAAAAGTAACGAGGGAGCGAGCGGGAATCGGTCGGATGGTTGAGTTTGGGGTTTGCTTTTAGTAGCGTCGCGTTCAATATAGGCGAAATTTTATTCCCGCTTATTTGTAAGAATGTCCTGTTGTTGATTTAAACAAGCCTCAGACATTGTGTGTGTGTGTGTGTTGCACCTACAGGCAATTTAATTACTGCTTAGTAATTACTGCTTATATATATAGCACATATATATCTAAGCAGTAATTAAATTGGCAGTATGTACAATTTTATTTGTTCAGATCTACATCTTGCACTATACATCTTGGATGTTTAACAAATACTCCTTGGAGAAAACGCTACCTTCCTTAGGGAGTACATAAAATGAGGACTAAGATGAAGCATACCTCTTCTTTTTTATGTCTCCCATTGTGGTGCTGGATGCGTACACGGTTTATGCATATTTTAAGGTACCCCCAGGAAAGGCAGTGATAGTGCATGTGTTGCTTGACAGTCCACTATTGAAAATAAATAAATATACAGAGAATTTTCTGAAACGCTTTTAACTGGAGACTTGCTTTTAAACACCACAATCCATTTGCTATTCCTTCACAAAATCTTTCAAGTTATTACTCAAACATTTTCAATCTGCTTTGTTGAACTGGGCAAAATAGCTTCCTAGCAGTAGTCAAATAGATTTTTATTATAGGGATTCTGCTTAAGAATATGCTTGTCGCTGTTTTGGAAAGAATGTGTAAGAGGAGATGTTCTCTGTATAGCAATGCGCTTGCTCCAAAGGCTACTAGCTGAACGACTAAAAGCCTGGATTGATCTAATTTAGATTTGACTTTGCCTCAGATACAGTTTTAAAAGCATTTAGCTTATGAATCTTAATTGCCCTGAGTCCAATTTCCTGGGAATCATCTAAATGATAAAGCAATAGAGCAAATAGATTGTGTTCATTTTGGTTGAACATTTATTAGTATTGTATTGCTTCTTGTCAGTTTTTTTTACTATGGAGAAGCTTGCTAACTTTCACATTCCTGTTATTCCTCTTTTACAAGAAATGTTACATTATGTAAATAAAGGAAAACAAGGCAAGTAAAGTTGAATAAGCTGGTTGTGTGTAATAATACTAGTAAAAGCTGTGTGGTTTGTTTATATTCTTTTGTGTATAAACAGGGAAGTTAGTGGGATTTATTCCCTCCTTACACGTATTCAGCTTTTACATTTAGTGTAACAGTAGTCTTCGCTTGTTAATATGCATGGGTTTGTTTGCTGTAGAATATGTTCTTGTGTGTAAGAGCTGGATCTGTTTGCAAATAAAGATATGCTTCCCTGTCATTCCTCTAGGATAGATTTTATTGTGTGTTCAAATGCAGGGCTACTGCTTTTGGAGGCTGTGCAAACAAGCAGGTGGATCCTTCTCTCTGCACGTGAGGTGTATATGGAGAGATTGAAGTCCAGTGGCAGAGCACACTTGCCTGGTCTATACTGGAGCTGTGAGATGACTATCATCAATACAATCAGCTGACATTCATGAGAAAAGTAGTTACTATTCCTGTGATGCTTTGAGGTCTGAAGTAATATTCTACAGTGCTAGCTTACTTTGTTTAGTTTCCAAAGCAGTACAATGGCATTTTAATTAAGTTGTAGTTGCCATGTGGATATTGTTAAACTATTAAAGCAGCTAAATGTTTAATTATCATTGAGTATTAATGAACAACCTTGCCTGTTCATCTTTTATGAACATCTTTTAAAGTCAAGGCCAATTTCAGTGCTTCATATCTTATAGAGTAAAATATTAATATACAATAAGTGCTCTTGGGAAATCTGTAATCTTTGTATTAGAAAAATTGCCAAAGTTTGTAACAGAATAAAAACCAATTTTTAGTCTAGAGATGAATCCAAATCAAATGATTAAATAGAGATAATATTAAGTGTATTGCTACACATTTATAAATGTAATGAAGAACATTTTAATTGATCCCAGTGATTGGTTGGGATCTGTAAAAGAATGTATAAAATCAATGTTATGTATCTTGATAATCAACAAATAAGCATTAAAACTAGCCATTTCAATAACTGCTTGAAACATGCACGCATTTTAATCTAAAGCAAAGAGAAAAAAAAATATAAGGCCTTTAAGTGCTGTCCAAGGAAACAATTCAAATTCTTTCTGCCATGTACAGGAATTGGTATAGGATATCTTCTTTAGGATTCCTTTTATCACAAAAAGCAATCCTGAACAGTAATTTCTCAAAGATTATTATCTTATCTGCAATAGCTTTTTTAAAAAGCATAATGATAAACAGTTGAAGTACAGAGCAAAAATAATTGCTATAATACTGTATGCTAAAAAATTTGCAATACACTACCAAGGCAGGTGAGAGAACAACATATTTTCTGCATACACAGACGTTTATATGCATGAGATGATTAGTCAACCAACCTCCACTTCTGATTTCATAAAGAACAAGGCCTGAGTTCAAGCAGAAGTTAATTGCCATGACAGAAACTTAATAGCAATTAAAACAGTCCCACTGGCTGCACATTAGCATCTCAAATAGACTCATTTGGATTAGTTAAAACATTTACTCTTAGTTAAAAGATTTACTTTTAACTAAAAGTAAATTTGGGACATACTGCTAAAACAATCATACAGTAGTTTAATCCAGGGTTTCTCAAGCAATATTAACTTGATCCCTTCCTCTTTCCTTTTCAAATTACCACCTGGCACGGTGACACCACCCCACTGCACCATCAATTCTCTGCTGCAGATGCTCACATGCCATTATTGGCAGGTATGCATGAACTATAGATTAGGAATATAATCTGACCATTATACCAGAGTGGAACTGAACCCAATGAAAAGAGGAACAAAATATTTCTGTCTCCCTCTTTCAAATGTATGGATATAAAGATGAACATTTTTTCTGCTCAATTGTATTGCCACTCATAATAGTTCCATTATGGAGTTTCTTATACCTTTTGTATGAAAAATGTTTTTGGTTACTAATGTTTTCTCTAAACAATGTTTGGAACGGATGTGTTTTTGTCAGATTTCATGATAAAGACAAATTTAGGGTTCATGACAATTTTTATAGGATTTAGTGGAATTTAAGGCCTTGTTATTAGAACCAGGGAGAAAAAAATCATAGTGCTTTTGAAGCAGGTGCATTTCAGCTTTTTTCAACCCGGAGCTTTTGAGATGTAATGAATTGGTAAAAGCCATGATGCATTGGCTTTATGAAAGTTTAACAAATATAGAGGTAATATACTGTATCTGGAAAGCCCATATTGAGAAAGGTAGTGTAAATGAAGACAATTTTTTTTATAGAGTGCTTCTTATGGTATAATAAGAAAAGGAAAAGGCAAAAGGTATGGGTGGAGTAGATATCTACAGATAAGTGAGAAAGGATGATGTTTTTAAACCAACAAAATAATTGTTGAGAGATAAAATTGCAAAGGCCCAGATTTTATTCGGGGCAAAAATGTTATTGTGTTTTAAGTATCAGAAGTTCAGATAAATTACCCCTCCTCCCAATACATCTTATCCAGAACTTTTTTTAATATATTTTTTTGTTTTTTTAACATAGTCACCTTAATATTTGGTAAACAGTGTGTTGTCTGGGTTTTCATTTAAAAACAATCAATAACAATTTCTATAGTTCCATAATCCACATAGTAGCTTTCTTTGATTTTCTCTTCATTCCAATAATATTTTCTTTTACCAAACTTGAATTAATACATGTCTTAGTATTTTGATAGATAACAATTGAATAGAAACATTTTTCTAGTATTTAGCAACCACATCAATATAAAGCTTCTTTTCTAATTAATCATCTTAATTACCTCATCATAGATCCTGTTTTCAAAGTTCTTATTTAGATTCCCCCCCCCCGCAATGTTCAAAACATTCTTACCAGTTAAGATTTTCTCAGAGTTAATTACACTTAAGTATTTAAGTCTTTTTCCTCATACAAGCCATCCCAATATTTTTATGTTTCTCATATATTAAAAGAAAAGAAAAAGAAAAAGAGAAGAAAAAAGAAGGAAATAGTATACTGCTTGAGCAACATGTCCCTCTTAAGCTAAGATACATTTATATCCAGAATTAAACAAATGTTTAATCTTTAAATATTCCATCTAATAAATCCAATCATCTAATCTTTTGAATCTATTCAGAACATTCTTATCAATTGAGATTTTCTCAAGATCAATTACACTTAAGTATCTAAAACATTTCCCTCATATAAAGTGTCTTATCCAGAACTTATGGAGTGTAAAAGTTTTTGTTTGTTTTGTTTTGAAATTTGGTTTATGGAATCAGGAAGAAGATGGAATTTTTATCACCAAGCTTTCTCTCTTTCTCTCTCTCTTAATAGGTTATTCACAGACTTGCTTGTCTGTTTTAATGAATAACATAGTCCTGATCTTACAAACCTATGCTTATAATGAGATTGTGTTTGATCCTGTTCGTTGGGGTCCTGGCACGAGCTTGAAAAGCTTTTGTTACATACATACATACATACATACATACATACATACATGCATACATACATACATACATACATACACACATACACATTGGTAATGATTATTGTTCCATAATGGACCATAATCTACTTCTGAAGCAATTGTTGCAGGTTATTGGTTACACAAATATTCCAATCTTTGCAGAGAGGCACTCTGCCATGAACATTAATGGAGCCCTCGCATAACTGTTGCTGATGCTAAAGAACATGTTTAAGACATTTCTGTTAGAAAAAAAAGGTAAAAATCACTTTAGATTTTAGAGCTTATGAAATCCCTTTAGGGTTTAAATCAGAATTTTTTCATAGTAGAATTTTAAATGGAAATGGACTTTGAGCTTTCAGGTTCTAGTTCTTCTAGTAGTTCTTCCTTTTGTACTAAAATAAATGCAATTGCAAATAATGGCTTAGACTATTAAACCATTTTATAGAATGGCTTAG